CAAACCTCTATCCTGATCATATTTTTGTTTGACGATTCTTAACTCTTCTAATCCGACAAAAAATATTTAATGAAAATTTTATAATCACTTTCTTATCTATGGATAATCAGCAAGAACGTAATGCACAGCAACAGCGATAACATTTTCTTATTGATTTTTTCGGTATACAACACCACTACGCTTTAAATGACATTCCTTTAACCGTAGTTATTTTTAACATTTTTCACTTCGTAAATATATTTATATTTTCTATCTCTTAAAACAAAAATATATGAAGGAAGAATATTCTTTTCGGTAAATTCGCATAAGGTTCTATAAGTATAGATCTAAATAACTTATTAAAGCATTTAGTCAATTTTACAGCAAGAACTATACTAATGATTGATTTCATGTTACTGTATATTCTGTTTATCAAATGATTTCAGGAAAAATTGAAATTATAACTTGCTTTTCGTGGAGAACACAACAGTACTAACTTGAACTATAGTAAACCAAATGTGAAATTAATTCGTAGCTATTCACAGTATAAGTTTGTTATCTGCTTTGCGAAATATTGTAACTTTCACACAAAAATTAGCCAGTCCTATTCAAACTTCATGACCTTGATAATATATACATATATATAATTCCAACTTTCAATAAGTTTATGAATCTGGAAATCAGAATGAATTTTTTCATAATGTTAAATAATCATTAGAAGACAACTTCGATGATTTACCGATTGATGTTTACGAATTACTGGAATGTGAGTGTGCATACATGGTTATAATGATCACATGTAGACGTACTTACTAATCAATTGCAGTCCTAAATTTCAAAGACTGAAAGTTGCAAGCTTTTACTAGTATTATCACATCTATTGAACAAATTATTGGCTATTTAGACTAATTAGCCCAGTAGATAATCCGTTAATGTTTAAAGTGAAAGATACTGGGTTCAAGTTTCAGCATGAACATCAACACTAGGATGCAAGTATATTCAGCAGAAGAGTCTCGAATAGGACTAAACGTCCGTCCCGAATTCTGTTGTTAATCATATCCCAATTATACTATACTATATTCATGCAAATCCATTATTTCACTAGAGTGATCAGTTTAAACCTTTTCGTTAAAACGAAATCCGTGAAATTCTTACTTTGCAGTGAGAAGTTTAACTGTAAGCTACTGATACACAACACAGTGATCATGGTCTTCAAGTATTGTTAGTTTCAGAGAAATTGGAATTGTCTTCTTAAAATACTTGCGGGTGTCTGCTTATTTTCGTTTCGTTTAGCTGCGCACGCTGCATAATTGTCCTGGATTCCGTTACTAGCCACCATCCATCTCTGCTCAGAATGCCTGTGACCTGTGGCAATATCGTGGCAATACACACAGTATGCACATATGTCAATAAGAGACTGATCAATTACAGTTCTAAACATCAATAGGAAGATTCAAGTAAACAATACCAAGCGAATTTATTCAGTTAATTAATTTTTGTTTTCTTGTAAAATGAGAGGAAAACTGTAGATCTCTAGTATACATACTATTCTTACTAATGGCATGCACTCTACAAAAAAAGGATTATTTTATTTACTGTTAAATAATCATTTCAATTCCGATTTAATTAAAGACCACATGTGACAAAGGCACACGCTTGTAAGGGGTGAGACAATTATTGTATTAATTAATATGACATATTAATTGTAAAGTGTATTGCTTACATAATGACCTATTGCAATGAATATTGTGTACGCTGAAATTAGTTTTCGAATAAAATAACCTCAAAAACACTTAAATTAGTTAGTGGAAAATATAATGAATACGAATAAATATTCTACTTCCTGATTTTCTCATGCATCGTTTTCATTTCCAGTCTTGTCGTGTTACTTGTAGTCTTTTTCTTTCGTTTATTTTCTCCTATGGACCTGAGCTTTTTGTTATACTTCATCAATATGATTTAACAGATCGACTGATTGGTTGACATATTTTTTTTTAAAGATAATTACTTGGTTAATGTGGTTTTGAACTCTGAAGGAGTTGGTTCTTAAGATCATAGTGGAAATCAAGTCCAAAGTTCTTTTTCAATCTATTAATATTATCAATAGTTTGGTTAAGTAATTTAAGAAGTTCAAATTACTTGAATGCTTATGTTGATTAAATTAAATAGTGTGGCCATGACTAACTATATTTGCAAAGTTATGATTATCATTTATTGAGTAGAATGAAATCATTTGAACCTGGTCGTTATGGTTTCACTCAGTTACCTAATTGTGATGGTTACTGTAGTTTCGAAATGGTTTTCGTCACAAGCTGATTAGATAACTCCTAGTTTTTTTTGTGATCCAACAATCGGGATCAATCCGTGGAAAAAGCCACCTTGAAATCGATTTCAGTAAACCTGGTTTACATCAAACTATTTATTTAATTTTACTAAAAATTGTAAACATCTCATACAATTTAAAAATATCACTTAGCTTTAACCAAAAGCTCAAAGTTATAATAAAATGATTGAGGATATTTCCATAAAAGTATATTGATCAAATGAATCATAACTGAAGTCATCTATATTGTTAACTGGGTGAGGTGAGATGATAAGATTCAACTCTAAGATCTAAATGAGGTTCCAGTTTTGTGAGTCAAACCTATTTAGATATTAACTGGATAATCAAGAAAAGTGTAAGTATTTTAAGAAGTTTTTACATGTAAATATTGTGGACCTAATTTATTTTGAATTTATCGATCTGGGAAATAATAAAGTACTACGAACCGACAGGATAATTTACAAATAATTTTTTTTTATAAAGCTGTTACCTAGGTGGTGCCAGTTGATTATCTGTTTATAGGAGATATCAAAGTTAGTGAAACCAAAGAAGAATGTTATAAATCCTTTATTCTTTATCGAATGGTTGTGGACAACAACTTTTGCTGGATGCACCTGGATTCCAATGTCGATATTTAAAAACAAAAACAGTGTGCTAATTCGAACGTTTACAAACTGAATTGATTGTCACGTTTATTTATAACCGACTATAAATTTAAAACCTCTCTATAGGATCAATCAACACATGGTAATTTTAGAGGTATGGGGAAACAGACTACTTCCTAAATTGAAAGTGCCATCAGGTAAGTTAAGAGTGAGAAAACAGTATGACCTGGCAACATACCAGCCGAAGCATTGAAGTCAGACATAGAAGTAACTGTAAATATACTCCACGTTCTATTCAGAAGGATTACGGAAGAAGAACAAGTGCCACCGACAGACTGGGGAGAAAGACACCTCATCAAGATAGCAAAGAGAGGAGATCTGAGCAAATGCGAGAACTACAGAGGCGTCACACTACTACTGTCAGTACCAAGAAAAATTTTCAACAGAGTGTTGCTGAACCGGATGAAGGATTCAGTAGACGCCCAGCTTCGAGATCATTAAGTTTCGTAAGGACCGGTCGTGCACAGACCAAATTGTGTGACTACGGATCATCGTTGAATAATTGACTGAATGGGACTCGTCATTATATAACAACTTCATTGAGTATGAGAAGGCGTTTGACAGTATGTATAGGAGAACCTTATGGAACCTTCTTCGACACTATGGTGTATCTGAGGAAATTATCAACCTCATCCGGAATTCATATGACGGAATACACGGCGAAGTCGTGCATGGACGACACCTGACAGACTCATTCCAAGTTAGGGCCGGAATCGGACAAGGCTAACTACTCTCTGTATCAGAACGCCTCAATATACACATGAGAGAGAGCAAGATCCTCAAACAACACGGAGAACATCAACCCAATCACACTTGATGGAGAAACTGTGGAAGAGATGGAAAATTTTACGTATCTGGTCAGCAGCATGATCGATGAACAAAGAAGATCGGATGCAGATGTAAGGGTGAGGATCGGCAGAGCAAGGACAGCATTCCTACAGTTGAAGAACATATGCAACTCAAAACAACTGTTTGCAAGCCAACACCAAACTCGGAATCTTCAATACGGACGTCGAGACAGTTCTACTGTACGGAGCTGAAACTTGTAGAACTACTACAACCATTATCAAAAAAGCACAAGTATTTGTAAACAATTGTCTACACAAGATACTGAATGTTCGTTGACCTGATACCATCAGCAACAGCCTACTGTGAGAGAGACCAAACGAAATTCCAGCTGAAGAGGAAAATACGTTGGAGGTGGATAGGAAATACATTACGGAAATCAAACTGCGTCACGAGGCATATGCTAACATAAAATGCTGAAGGAAAACGGAAAAGAGGAAGGCCAAATAGCAGTATGAGGAGAATTGGAAGCAGACATCAAAAGAATGAAAAGCAACTGGAAACAAGTGGAAAGGATTGTCTAGGACAGAGCTGGATGAAGGATGCTGGTGAGTGGCTTATGCTCCTTCACTAGAAGTAGCAGGTGTAATTAAGTTAATTTGAAATGGATACAATAAATTATACGTGAATTAATGATTTCAACTGTGTGAGTATGAGGTAAAAGGTAAAAAGAATATGGATGTCAAAACTCTTATATTAACTAAAATCAGCAGAATAGTAGTTATTTATCGTAAATCAGTTCCTCGCTTGGTAGAATGATCACAAGGATATGGGGAAGTCCAGGTGATAATTTTTAAATAAAACCAAATATTTTTTTCATATTTTCCACTACCAACGGATATTACACATGGACAGACGTATGAATTTCCTTAAATAAGTTAACTCTTTTCCAAAAAGTGTTATTATGAGGAGGAAATTCGAGTAGAAAACATCTTACTGACTACTTTCAAAGATCTATTCGGACAATGTATTACGCGATACAGAATATTATGATTATTAGTATTATTATCGTCAATGAAGGAAAACTGAAATAGGTAACTGATATACTACAGCTAATTACAAAGCGTGCCTTTTTTATTATCATTTTCAAGCACATGTCTGTCTGTGTTTAGCTTATAATTGACTAATTTTATTTATTACTAATTAATATAACCACATATCTAAAAAGAAACAGAGGGGGTTATTTACAAAGTCAATGATAACAAATGCCTATCATGTTTATTGTGTAAATCTCACATGTCAAATTATAAACTAGCGATTTCAATATAGGGGTGATTGCGTAAATGTGTTCATTCGTTTAAATAATAAAGATTATATTTTAAAATAAAAGTTCACCGCATGAATCAAATTTCAATTATCATTTCATTGTAGACGAAACTAATAACGGTAAGTAAAATAAACAATAATACATAATTATTTCTTGCTCTTTATTATCATAATCCTGTTAGACAGTGAATGCACTTTGATATTTGATTAACACTAAAAAGACATTTCGCTCAATTTTTTTTAGAAAATTTATTCCCAATTGAAGAACTCTGAGATTGTGCATGTAAAAGAGAAAGAGAGAAACAATTGTACATATCATGTTATTTGTGTTTATTCCCTTGTAGGAAATTTAAAGCTAATCAGTAAGGTGGCTCCTAGAAATACATCAAAGTCAGATTATTATCAGACACTATCTACAAGATCAGCAATAGTAATTACACTGACAAATGAAAAGAAACACAATAATTTATTATAAGAATCCCTGTAAAATACATTACTCATTTTAATTAATTAAATCACATTTAGTCAATAATAATTATATAACATGTTCCCATGTTTGGGATTTTACTTTGATTAACTATGACAATACAAACTCATTTAGATATAAATTCTAAAATGCATAGAAGAAAGCAAATTACACCTAAACGAACTGAACATACTGGTAGGTATTTTGTTATTCATACGTTATGATTTTATTATTATTATTATTATTATTATTATTATTATTATTATTATATTTAACGCATATTGTTATAAAAATGAAACTAACACAGTTTATACATCATTTAGTTGTTGTTTTTATATAATAAGAATAATCAATTTAGATTGGCATAGAAAGGTACGACTTGGTTGGTTAGCATACTGAACTGCTTACAGTTGTGTATTACTCTCATGTGCACGTCAGGTGGATGCAAAACTTAATATTGTTATGGTGAATAGTTTATTCAGTCAGTGGTTGGATTTCACTTTTGGATATGTAGAGTCTGATCAATAACCTAGAGATTAATGATTCGGATTATGACATTATTCATTAAGTTTTAATTTCATTATTATGGTATTGCCAATTATTATTTAGTTGAATGGATTCTAGAGATTATTTCAGTCAGAAGATGGTTGTGGTATATTACTAAATTACTGAAATCGAAAATATGGGGGATTGAAAGTCAACTCAATGGACTGAAAGTAATTCGCAAATTGTGCGACCTATCTCACTGGTTTAGTATTGGGTGAGGTTTTTAATAGCTCTCCAGCTGACATCGTTCCTTTCATACTCAACTTCGACGCTTAAACAGGGGCCGTGAAGAACAAGTCAATGAACACCAGGGGTAGTTTCGGACTTGAATGTGAATGTATAAACTAAATATTCAGCATTTGGTAGGCTATGGAATGAAGATATACTTTTCGATGTCCAACAATAGTTATATTGCCCGACCTTAAGGAGGCGTTCAACTCTTTCGAGATCCTGTGGCAGTGCCGTTCGGTGAAAGGCATGCCAAAGAAATACATTGAGCTTTCACAGGCTCACTACTCAAAGACTACTGGTCGAGTCAGAGCTTATAGTGAACCGTCACCGAAACTGATTACTTCAAGTGGTGCTCGTTAGGGTTATCCGCTTTCACAATTTTTATTTAACTTTGTCACTGACATCCTTTTGGAGGTAGTGCTCTAACTTTTCAGTGGTTGGTCTTCTGTCAAGTGATTTACTTGTTGACTTATAATACACGGATAATATAGTTCTACTTAATGATGATACCGACAAAATGCAGAGTCTTTTGACCACCATAAGCAACAGTGCAAGCGTGTTGCATATGTGATTCTCTCTCTAAATGCATAACGTTGCTCCAGGGCTGGGTTGGGTTATCACCTGGGTTAATAATAGGAAGTGGAGTAGTTGAATGTATTAATAGTTTCGCTTATCTTTGGAGTCGCATCAGTCCTGGTGGTTTGGTATCTGAAAGAATCTCAGCATGGATTCAGAAGGCTCGACTGGCTTTTGCCAACTTGCGTCACTTGTGGTGTAGGTGAGATATCCTTCTTCAAACCAAATGGCGAGTTCACTGTGCAGCAGTTTGCTTCGTTCTAATTCGTGGATGTGAAACAGCCATTAAAGATAGAGAACATTAGTAGGCTGCCAGTATTCGATCAGTGATGTCTTCGAAGTATTGCTGATGTGCTTTTGGACCACCGAATATGTAATGTCTGGGTTAGGGATAGGGTTCTAAGTGAAAATGGGAAATCGGTTAATGAGGTAATAAATCTCCATTAACTAACGTGATTGAGACATGTGTTATGTATACCCAATCACTACCTACCTCAACGGTTGATGTTGTCTTTTTAAAATTTCATTAAATTATATTTTCTCGAATCGTTTCTTCCTTACCTAAACTTTTGCATTACCACTACCTACTTTTGCTATCTCTGCTACTCTGGAATTTTCCCCAACAATTTCATCACGCCGTGCTAATCGGGTATAGTGTCTTGGACCCATATACACATGTACCAGGTTCTACGATGCGTCTGACTGACTGACTGACTGACCGAAATATTGTCGACAGTCCACTCAACTAAACAACACGATTATACTAGCCACCATTAGTAACTAATAAAACAAATGCCGCATAATACAGCATTAAAATACTGAGACTCAAGTTATTATAGTCTGATAATCTGTGGACAAACGTTTTCCTTTCCAAATAAAAACAACTTAACTGTTCATAACTATACGTAGTGTACGCTCTACTGTAATATTAAAAATTAAGTCACAGAGTACGTTCTAGTTAAGTTGTAATTCAGATTACCAAACCAAATATTTCTGATAATTTTTAAAAATAAAGTACTACGTTATTGATTCTATATAAATCGAATTGTCCCAAATAGGATGAAATATATGTTCAAGATTTCACTGTTAACAACGGTCTATAAATACAATATCAGATAGTTGAGTTGTATGATTCCATACCCATGTAAAGAAACATCTCGATAGTCAAAAAAATTATCATAAACTAGTTACCACCCGTTGAAATACTACTTTTTTGTCTTTAAATCATTAAAATTCTCAGCTACAATCAGTTCAAACTTTACCAGAATCATCAACCTCTCCAAGGTTGTAAGTCAAATCGTTCATGACAATAATGAATAAGAATTAATACATTACAGGTTGACTGGATTTAAAAAAGTAAAAGAAACGTGTTCAGCAATATGAAACAAATACAATGATTTGAAAGTAAATTTTTGACATTAATGACAAATTTATGTACTGTTGAATGATACAGTTACATAATATAGTAAATTAACTATTCACTTCTCTCTTATTCTTTCACTCATTCAATAATTCCTAATAAAGATCACCTTTATGAGATGATAATTATTTTTTAGAAGAAAAATGTTTGTAGTGGTTTTCATGTCATTGAAATGATAACTTTAGTTGTTTTAATTTTTATGTCTTTTTTATGCACCAATAAGCAATGTGTTACCCATGAGAATAACTGAACATTCAACGCTGTCTATATTATTCTTTGTATCAGTAAAGATTATCATTATTAAGCTAATTTATTATTTACTTATTTTATCTGTTTAACACACCATTAAAAGAAAAAATAGGATAGACTTACATTTCTTTTATTATCAGTGAATTTATTCCTTGTTCGATCAAATTTAATCCCTTTTTACAAACATAATTATAATTAATAGTATTCATAGTTCTATTGCCTAATAGATTCTCACGCACAACTGTCATTCACGATATTATTAAGCTGGATACAATCAACGGTATGTTTTAAACTTAAAGTTCGCATTGGCTAGTAATAATTAGTAAGGCTCATATGAAGATTTAGGAAGACTAATGTTTGCTATGGAATTTGAACCTGTGATGCCCTGGGTCATCATCAAAGAATCGTTCACTGATCTATTTAGAGCAATACTGACTCACCATTAAAAACATTCATCGCGAGATAGAATCATTTAGTCTACTGGGTATATTTAAAATGAAGCAAATAGAATTTGACTGACTCTAAAGGCTAGATAGTATGATATTAGTTAATATTAACTTATCGGTTAGTGTATCATTCACTGTACTACAGCTTTGGAGCTCATTTCGTCTACAACATCCTCAGAAATTGAAAAGTGATGCCAACCTTCTAAAGTTCGATGTGTCACATTACACTAATGATTGGATACCAATATTACGGAATAAAATATATTAATGAACGCTTGAAAATAATCACTAAGAAGCCGGTTATCTAGGTGACATTTCTAAAAACCACCAAGAAACTCGTTTTTTCTCAAAAAATTAAATCCGTTTTGTTCAAAACTGAACGCTATTTATTGCGGTATTAAGCTACTCTGTTTCTTAACTAGATTTAAAATGTGAATGAAAAACTCACTTTTCGTTGGAAATTAGACGATATATAATAATACCCTCAAGAAACTGAGTTTGTTTTATTAACATCCACTTCAAAAACAACACTGCGAAGCTAAGCCGTCGTAGACCATTTAAGTAGCTCCTATCATTCTCTGTAGTACTATGATAATTTGGCTACGTCCAATAAGAACTACCTATTCCACTGTAAGGTTGCTAGTACCGTTGTTACATCCTAGTTAAAGTCAATGTATCTAGAAAGGAATTTCTGCCATTCTCTGTCTTAATTTAGCTAGTGTACTCATCTCACCTATTAAATATAGGTTTATGAAGTCGGTTTCTAACTACCATGTTCAAGTGGTAGTTTAATAATTACAAAAATCATTTAGATGCAAGTAATTATTATCATATTGCTCATACCTTCTTACTAATTGACTTCAAGATCTCCAATTTCCGTGGTGCATAAGCATCCCTATGAATGTTTAGTAGTGTTGACTAGTTGAAGGTAATCATTAGGAAACCTCTAATGAACTGAAACTAAGTTCATATACGAAAAAAACAACAAGCTTGAGTTTTCTCATTAACTGTTCTGTCTCAGTCAGTTCGCTATAAAATAAAAACAGAGGGTAGTTGTCGTCAAATGCGTTAACTACAGATATTATTTTTAAGACTATTTCTTTAAATAGTCTCTATTTAAGGATTTGTTACTTCTAGAAGAAGTGATTGACTAATTAAGACCACATAGACCCTAACTGTTATAATTACTACTCTTAGACCTTTCAGTGTATATTTCATAAAACTCTTTACAATGTTAAGGGATATGTGAGCATTCGGTTTAAGTACACGTAGTGAAGCGATCAGATAAGCTAACTGTTTCAGATTTTCAGATAGTTACGTTCCGAATAACAAATAGATCTCAATAAAAAAATTTAAACACTTGGCTACCTGAAATGTTTCTTGCATTCACTCCTATTTATATTATACCACATGTCTTCTCCAGAGTAACTATGCTGCTACAATAGCACTGACGCTCAAAAGAACATTAAAAAGCATTGTCGCTATATAATCATCACATTTAGATTGAATGAGTATTACTACATGTTGACAATAACTGATGTGAAAAAATATTCAGTGATGATATCAAGATACATTAAATAAATCAAGTAATTTGTAATAACAAGTTTAAACACTATAGTGACTTGCAGTCTTTGGAAATGTTTGAGTTAAGAAAGTAGGACTTGCTGTCTGAAACAATCATAACTGTCACCAGTTAAGCAGTTGGGTCTGTATTAATAAGACTGGTG